CACCCAGTCACAAGTGTACAGTGCATTCACACAGTGATGGAAGCTGGCCGACCAGGGCCGCACTTTGGCATTTCAATGTATCTTGCCTCAAGGACAACTTCAGCATACGGCTGGAGGAGCCTTGACTTGAAATTTGATTAGTGGACATCACATATGTAAGGATCCTTTAGTGTTTTGTGCTTCACAGTTTTTCTGTTTAGCTGCAGTTTGTAAAAGCACACAACTTCCAGCTGACAAACAACATTCACCACAAGCTCAGCCTTGTTCAATTTGGCTTGAAAGACAAATTTTTATGGTGTGATCAACGATTAGTAGTAATACAGTTGCTGGAATCATCTCTGTTAGGTTTCTATCTTAAAAACATTTCAATTGTAAACACAAAGTTTTAGTTCAATTTAGGAAAAGAGAAGATGACTGCCCTGACGCAAAGCACGCGCCCATAGGGCCAGTAGAGAGGTCTTCCGTCCTCTCCTCGGCTGATTACTGTGACTGCAAGCAGCTTTATTGAAGCACAGCGCTGCAGTCTGTTGGCTAACATGCTTTTTTCCCTGGTTTGGTTCTGTCCTTTGGGGCATCTCGCTCTTTTGACATCTTTGAACTCAGTTATGTGAAGGAGGACCGAAGCGAATTAGAGATTGGCTCGACTCCACAACATGGCTGAAGAGAGATTGTTCCTTTCCTGGTTTGTATCAGAAATGATTCCCTCACTGTTCTCTCATTTACAACCATCGGTTCAGTGAAGTCGTCGCTTTGTGCTGTTGAACATTTTTTCTGGGGATCAATAGAAAGTATGTACGCCTGATAAAGAAAGAAAAAATAAAACCTGTTTAATTTTAATTTTATCAATTCTTATGTAATATTAGTGTAAAGTTGCTTTGGCATTAAAATCGTCTGCCAAATGAGTAAATGTGATGTTGATTTAATTTACTGTATTAATTTATCCTTTATTATTTTTATAAAATCTCAAAAAATACAAAAAAAAGAGCCCATCCCAAATATCTTGTTTCAGTGCGAACCCCAAATACAGTTCATCTTTGGTTTCATTTTTGCTTTCTTCCTCGTGACTATTACCAAAAAACAGTCTGGCGATGTGTCCTCTGAATGTCTGTAGTTTTATGCATATCCAGATTAAAGTTTTCCTCATCACTTTCTATTATTAGAAGATTTGATTCACCAAGATTATGCAGCCTTGTTGAGCTTTGGCACTTTAGGAGCTATTTGTAAGTTATTGCTATGCTACATAAGCCAGCTGTCAGCATAACAGCTGTTTATTTTACCAGTCTAGAAGAAGTACTGGAGTTCAGCATCAAACTTCATTCCCTTCACACACTAAGAGCTGTCTCCACGGTGGAAAGTATGCCAATGTTAACTTCGTCTCTATCGCATCTTTTCTTTATGAAGTTAGGGCATTGCTAACCAGCTAGCCCCGGCATGTCTACAATATCACTGTAGCTCAATCTGCTCTTAAGACGAGCAACCTCTCACAGGGCAAATTATACCTCTTGTCTTGTGAACGCAGCGAGAGCCGACAGATCTTTGTCAAGCCAGAATCACCGCCACCCGCCTCCTGCCAAGAAAGCACATTTGTCAGCAGAGAAAACTTACCAATAAGGCTCTTAATGGCTTTCAAGTTTATTTTTTTTGTGTGACATGAGTTTTTAAGCAGCTCACATTAACCATTAGCACCGAACCATATACTGACTGTGCATTCAGTAAACAAACACTTGCCTTCAGGGGGCTTGAAATTGAGCCACACACGGAGCCTCACCGAGTCCCCGCTCCTCGGTAACATAGTTGCCCTCCTGTGCTGGTCGGCGGTATAGTCCGGGTCAGCGCGGCGAGAGTCTGGCGAGCTGCAGAGGAGGAGGAGGAGGAATGGGAGTTTGGTTTGTTCACACTTAAAAGAAAAAAATAGTCAAGGCAGAATTTGCACTGGCGGCAGAAATACTGTAATGTTATTGGGAGAGATGAAAATTGGGGGCGGGGCCAAAATACATTCGCTATTAGGGGTTAATGGTACTCTATACTGTATACCTTAGTGTACAATACCTCTAATACTATAGCCTAGCTTAAGGTATACTTTACCTTACCGAAGGCTTATACTAAAGGTATAGCTACTATTCTGTACAATTCCTCAGAAGTACAGTATGTAACTTCTCTCTTTCAAAACAATAACAAAAGACTTCATTTAGTGACATCCTGAGGGAGCGTGGGATTATGGGAGTTGTTGTCCTCATGGGCATTGCAATCAGCTTCTCCCAGTGCAGTCGTTTAGGTTTTTACCAGGAGCTGAAGTGTTTTGCCGATGCTGTACGGAGGACACGGGACATCAGGGAGGGGCTGGGAGCTGATCTGCCAAACATTTAATAGGCTTTTTTCTCTTATAACTTAAGATCCAGATATCCGACGACTAAAATCCTTCATTCGGTTTGAAATACATGAAAATGACTGAGGTATAAAAAGTCTATCTTAAATATGTGGCTTAAAACTGGATAAAAAAGTAAGTTTTAAGCTTCTGGCACACAACCACAGGACTGATACATGCGCAAAGGGTATATGATGTCATTGACAGGCGACCAACTTAAAGGAACTGTTACCATGATTAAAATCATGGATTTCTCTAGGTTTGAAAAGTGCTGGATACATTTAGGATATTGGAAGTAAATAACTCATAAAATATAGGTGTAGTCAATATTAGACATTCTAATGTGGAAAAGTCACATATTATAACTTTAAGGTCTACTAAAGGTATACTATACCTTTAACCTATAGTTCCACATTCTGGGAAATGCGCTTATTTGCTTCCTCGCTAAAAGAATCGATTTGAATTTGTCCCCTCTCTTCTCTCTAGCAGAGGGCAGCAATACACCTTTGCCAAGGAAGGTCAAAGAAACTGTGTTAAGTCGCCAAAAAGTGTCATATATTAAGAAATGAGTCCAAGATCATAATAAACTTGTACTAAATCTAAGTGATGAAGAGTACAGTAACTCTCTAATGGTAAAATAAAAAAAATAAAAAATAGAAATGGTTCCAGAGACGTCATGCCAACTGGAGTTGAACAGGCGCAAACTAGTCCATATGGCAGAAAACCCTGTGACAAGAGCACAATAACTCAAATACAATATCATACATATATATATTATTCTGAATGCTGCATTCTGCATAAAGACTATTTTTACTTTTGGTACTTTGAATATTGACTCCAAAATGGGAATCCACATTTTTATTTATAAACACCAAAAATATTTCATATGCATCACATGATTTTGTTAAAAGTTTTTTTGTTTGTTTGTTTGTTTGTTTTCAAATACCCATGATTTTAACCGCTCTATTCTCCGCTCCAGTCGACTAATCGCAAACTACAGGTTCAAAGAAACAAAAAAAAAAAAGAGCAACTGGTTCCATCCAGCCAGATTGCACCGTTTGATTTAGCACACTCCTGAAACACCAGCAGCCAGCAGGAACCATCATTTCAATTTGCAAGAGCGTCTGAGCCTCCCTGGGGAAAATACCTCAGCTCTCAGGGGCAAAATCAATCAAACCTTTTGTTGAACTGACTTAGTAGTCGAGGAAATATATAAGGTCAGTCTATTCATCAATAATACACTGAAATTAAAATTCAGAGTGAATAACCTTTTACTCTTTTGTTTTGTTTTGTTTTACATCATACGGTACCTGCATGATAATGATGGGAGACACAATGAAGAGAAAATCATTTTTTCGTCGTACTTTTGGCTGAAAGATATCACACAGAAAGTTAGAAGGAAAGTTCCAGGACGTAAATAAATTTGGTCTCAGCGTATTGAAGAGCTCACCCGCACCAGTGATAGGAGGTGGTTGGTTTGAGGGAAATGTTGTAGTGAATTTCTGCATGTACACTATTGAGCCTCCTTGGAAATGTTCATGTTTTATTGCACAAAGTTGAACTGAAGTAGATTTAATGTGGATTTTATTATATTTCTTTACACTGACAAATAGAAAAACAGTCTGAAGTGTCAAAGTGAAAACAGATCTCTACAAAAGTGATCTAAAGGAATTACAAATAGAAAACATTTTTGCACATGTATTCACCCGCCTCCACTTCAATAATGACGGAAGAACAAAATAAAACAAGAAAGAATAAGGAAAACAAACAATAAGAGGGAATAGAGAAATTAAACCCTATAACAATTAAAAAAAAAAAAAAAAAACCTGCAGACACCCAATACTGTGCATCAGTGATAATGAGCATTAAAACTGCAGAACCACACAATGTTTGGCTTTCTAAATCAGAAGGCAAGGTCACTGCCGAGATTCACGAGAAGTAAAAATGCTAAAAGCAAAAAATAAATAAAACTGACTGGAAAAGACAAATGTGACAGGGATAGGGTGGAAACGCTGCTGTTTGAACGAAGCCAACCTGTCAAATGGGACAATCTATCCTCTGTGCGTCCCGGGGACAGATATGCATTGAAATGAAACGTGACACTGTATCAGGATGGTGCCGTTAGCTGCTGTAAATTTTCCTGCTTCCAGACCTAAATGGATTTGCCCTCGCGTTTTTCCCTTCATGAAAAGCAAATCAAGGCTTGATAGAAAGTTGCAGGAAGCGGTACGAACATGCCTCACGCTTGGTGGTATGTGTCTGTGAATTTACCTTACACAAGAAGAAGAATAAAACAGACAGATCCTTGGCTACTTTAAAAATACATACTTGCTGAGAATCCAAACCTTTTCATCTTTCCTGAAGCCTCTCTCTCCCCTGCAACCATCCCTCTTTCCCTGTCTCTCATCCACATTCCAGCTTTCTAATCCCCTTGACTGAAGAGCAGAAGACCCAGTGCTCCAGGCCACAAAACAGGAGGAGAAGTAAATTAGAGAGAGGAGAGAGGGCTAGAGATGAGAGAAGGAACGAAAAGGAAGAGAGTGCCACTCGAGCTGCAAACACAGAGGAAAGCATAGGAAGGGATGAGAGCAGCTAAGTGCAAAGACAGCTTGATGAATAAAGGGAGAGCAATACCTTTAATTAAAAATCTTCTTTTTTTTATTTTTATTTATTTAGACAAAATAATTAAGTACTATAAGAAAAAGAAGTTTAAGATAGTGACTCAAATAAACCAATCTGGACAACAGAACAAACCAAAGCAGATGGTAGACCCGACATTTCCATGTGACCTCAGGCGCAGAACGCCGACGTCTTTTACATCCTCACATCTGTCGAGTACATCTCTTGTAATACTTAACGTCAATAAAACCAAATCACAAATTCAGATATTTATCAAACTTAAACAACACACAGAAACCTATCACTTTACCACTTATGGCATTTAATAAAATAAAAAAGGAAAATAACAAACACCAGTCACCCCAGTCTTAAATTTCATTTTCAGTTTTCAGTTGCCTTGATTTTTGCGTTTGGTGGCTGCAAGGCTTCAATAACAGGCAACTTTCACCTGACTTTGGGCTGGTCTCATAACAGTCTACCCGCTTACACAAGTCAGCGTCTTATCAGCGCTGCTGGACGTCAGGACAGGATGATAACTCATTTCCAGACAGAGCCTGAGGTAGCTGAGGTAAGCAGCAGCAAACTGCAGCACAGGAACCAAGAAATTCAAACAAGTCCTGAATCAGAGAGTGTTCTTCGTGCATAAAGCCCAAGAGACTGAGAAGCACACTGATGATGTTACTTTGTGGCCAAGCTAGGGCTAACAAGCTTCAAATAAAATACTTATAATAAATCTAAACCTCATTCTAGCATTAATTTCAACAGACACCATTTAAATATTTTTCACATTTTTCCTAGCTTGACCAAAAGGTGAGAACATCCGTGGTGAAAACTTTGCTTTTATGTAAACTGGACAAGGACTGAAGATATTTCATGAATTGCAAGTATAAAGTCATTAATGAACTAGAATTGGTTTATTGCTTCTTCTAAGAAAAGTGGTGAATCTGAAAAAGAAACATTTTTTTTTTATGGCTTTCCCCATGGCTGCTTCATCAGGATGTGACGTCTCAGTGTGTCTGGACACACTTTTGTGTGTACATACAATGTATTGTTCAGGGGACGACAGAGTAGGGTTGATAGGGCAGCATCTTTTGTCGTTCATTGATTGCGTAAATCCATGCGGGTTTGACAAAGTTCAGATTGCCGTTCTCCATCAGTGCCTGCGATGGAGGGGAGAGTGAAGGTGAGAGAAACACAGAGGTAATGAATTGTTCTTATTGCATTACAAAGAGACTCACGGGAAGAGGTATAAACCCTTAGAAAAACTGAAAGCTAAGACTGTGTAACCAAACTGGTAAATCAGATGCTAACAAGGCTCTCGAATGGCTGAAAACCAACTCTGGACCACAATTTCAAACAGATTGAAAAGCTGCTTGGTCCGAACCCTGCAGCGTTTTCACTGGGGATGCTAAAACACTCAGGCTACCTTTTTGCTTTTATTTGATTATACCTTCAAAAAATTAAAATAAGTGCTGTTTAACAGAAAACGGCTGGCAGATTCATTGAGACATGTTCAAAGGGTTGATTTTTTTTTTCCCCCCTCTGCGGCTTTATGAGAAGAGATTTTCATTTGTGCACTTAATGTAACTGAGCAGCACTTCAGGTCCCTAAAGCAATTACCTTAACAAAATCATGTTGTCTGTGGAAGCATGCGAGTCATGCCACACGCATGTTCAAACCCTCATTTGCACAAAATACTCAAAATCTTCAGGTCTGAGTAAGATGTTATTATTTGGCTGTGATTGCCAAAGCAACACTGATGCAACAACGAAGAGAGAAAGAAGCAAAGACTCTACTCACGTCTTCAAATGAGTCATGCCAGCCCTCACTGGTCACCACAAACTGCACTTTCTCTGTCATGTAGTCCTCGATCACTCTGGAGCAGAGACAACAGCGCGTCTTACAATGTGATTTAATTACAGGCATTGAATTCCTGCGACCAATTTAAGTTGTGGCCAGTTACTTCGAGAAATCTTTCTCACCCATTAAAGGCAATAATGTATCGCAACATTAGGCGTCTCTCGTTGTTAGGAAATTTGCCGTAGAGGAAAAAGTGCTTTCCGCTCAGGAAGTCTGGAAGAAATGAGAAAATGGGAAGAGAAAGGAGCAGAGGAGTTCAACTGATGACTACACAATATGTAAGAGCAGTAATTATAGGTCCTCTTTGATAAAGGAAGAAGAAAACACAGACAACACAGAATGTGAGTGGTGTCCCTGAAAGGCAGAAAGGAATCCAATTACTTTCTGTCAGTGTTTGTAATGTCCCATGAGGAAGAAAGAACATCTTTTCCTGTGATAGGAACAGGAACAGACAAGAGAGACAGGCAGGACATGGAGATAAGAACAAAGAGAGACATACCTGGTAGTTCCGGGATGGGATGATCCTCTTCAGCCTCAGCGTCTGTGTTTTCATCTGTTGACCCCCCGTACGGATCCTCCTCTTTCACCATCTTCACTTCTGCTGCTGCTTTCTTCTGTCTGTTCTCATTCTCCACTCTTTCACAAGGACAGAAAAAGGTTACATCTTGTACGCTACATGTTACCTGCCTCTCGAAAGAAGAAATCTCCCCATTTGTCTTCATTTTTCTTGTGTTGTCTGAACACAGCAGGTCTCATTTTTATGGAAATAATGAATCCTAAATCCTGGCAGATGTAAACTGCATTCCTGCCATCGGTTTCATATTATTCCACTGTTATACAGCTGGCACTAACACGCCAAGAAATGGAATAATCCCACAAGCAAAGGCAGGGAAGAAGAAAGCTGAAAGCTGTGAACATGGATGTAAACAATGCAGGATTTAAAAAAATGTGTATCAGTAGATTGTTTGGCGACTCTGGAGGCAGTGAAAACAAGCTATGATCACAACATTTGCACATTATCATCTTCATCTCATCTTAAGTTGCTGCAACAAACATCTATACAAACATTTGCTTACTTACACCTCCAGCAAAGTCCAGTACTCACTCTCTTTTAGCTCTGATTTTGGTCTCTACCATCTCCTGAGGGAAATAATTGGCTCTTTAGCAGCTAAATGCTCCACTATGTTCATCAGCTCGTTGCTAATTGTGCAGTTGATTTTTTCAGGGTGGTTTTTTTGTGTGTGTGGTGAGAAGCAGCAAGATCGACCCGAAACAATAAAGCTGCAAGTTTTAAAACCAAAACAATGAGCTAAAAGACACTAAAACGCTCCATAGAGCCGAGTTGTACTGCAGTGTGGGGTGAAAATTCTCTGTGGGTTTGTTAAAACAAACAACACCTTTCACATTACACATTGTCATTTGATATGGAGTATCAAATGACATACAACCGGGACTCAAACAACAGTTATTTAAATGAAAATCTTTGACATTGCCACTTTAAGTAAATGTAGAAAATGTAGCTGTTCCAATGACTATTGCTCTTAGTTCTGTATTTCAGTACGAATGGAACATAGAAGTAAATAATGTCTCTCTAATTCAGTAATAGTTTCCTAAGTCATTTCCTGGAAGGCTTTCTCAAGATATCCCCTTATGGGTGACAAGAAGACACTTACACGACTTAACTTAAAGATTTCAAAATGAATCAATGGTCATTTTACTACTGTAGCAACGAGAGAGCAGAGATGGAGGCAACGGCCATGAAGGACACGGAAGAACAAACTTGTCCACATCAATATTACAAAGAGCATCATTGACTTTATTTGTTGTGCTTACCTCTGCAGCTCGTCCTCTGTGTCCACGGCAGATTCATCATCACCTCCTATGAAATGATTTGTTAATATGTCAATAGAGGATTTTTTTTTTTTTTACCAGAAAACTGATTTATTGTAATACTAGAAAAGGCCGAGCTGAAAATTAAATAGAAGTTGATAACCATGAAACGTTTTAGTGAGGAATATATCAACTGACTGAGAACACAAGGTTGCTGCTGTATCTCAGTTCTTTAAATTACCATCACTGCACTCTGGCCTTAATCTTAAAAACTAATTTACTATGATAATCAAATGTCAAAGAATTTAATCTGCCCATATGAGGAAAAGAGTTTAATCTTGCTATCATATTTTCTACAAGATGCTATTCATTTTCATTATGCAAAGAAGGCAGAGAAGAATTCCAGGTGAATTTCTATGAAACATGCATCAGCAGTTAAAAGAACGTAGCCTTGTTGGAAACACTTCCTATTACCATACAATCATGTGTTGTTGCCGGCAGATAAAAGAGAGGAAGCTCTAATTAAAATGCTGTCTGCCTATACGTGTTTGGTAGGTCACTGTTTGTTGTGTCCTCACTGATGCACCTCGGCACTTTACTTCTGGCCTTGCATTAACATAGAAATGAGAATCATGCACAAGTCCCTTCACAGTGATTACGTCTTTCCTCCATTCTGGTGTCTCCCTCAAACAGCATCTATCAGTACGTATGTTGTTCTTGTTCTTTACATTGATGGCGTTGTCAACTCATCCATTTCCAAGTGCTTCACAAAGATGATCCCTTTTGTCTATTCCCATGGCCTCTCACATTGTCCCCTTGCCCTTTTCAATTCATTCAGTCCTCTGCAGCTACAGTGCTTCCCCCTCTCCCTCTTTAGTTATTTGAGCTATTAGAATGAATCCCTTCCTATGGTTCATAGCCACATACAATTCAGCTCTTCTGTCTTTGCAATGCAGATCTGTACGGGAAATTGTGTTTCCCTGTCTCTCTTAATTCACTGGTTTCATCTATTTCAAATAACTAGAAAAAATGTGAAACTCTGATTCCCAGAGACAAACAAAAGAGGAATTAATAAAAGCAGAAAGAAGAATTCATAAAATTTTATGGGCATCCGGTGATTGAAGTGTAGAACACATAATCACAACGTCCATTGTTCGATTCCCAGCAGGAGGACCTTTGTTATCATGTCGTTCCCCTCTCTTTCTGTCCTTGTTTCCTGTCTCTCTCTAGACCGTCAAGTGTCAAATAAAGCCCCAAATAAAGCTAACGTTTGCTAATTACCACTAAACAAAGCGCAGTTGAGGCTGAAGGGAATTCGTTACTGGACAAAGTGAAATTGTGACCCGTTGGTGGCGTCAGATGTAAAGTGAGGGGATTTTAAAGATCTTTCCTTTGTGGGGAAATGAATGTCAGCCACTAAATGCGTTAGGATTCAGATATGTATTGCATGTTGTTATCGATTCCCAGCAGGAGGACTTCTGTTTGTTTGACTATAAATTTCTGAAAACTATTAAAAGCCTTCCAGCAGCTAAGGAGGTAAAATCCACTTCCTTCTCTTGAGGGACTTGTTCATTTTCTTAAATGGCAGCTTAACAATGATTAAAGCAAGTCATTGATCAGAATTAATCAGTGAAGGAGAAGAGTGTTTTGGTTCAGACATGAAAGAAACTCATAGTTGAGCGGTGAGTACTAATATCCAGTGTAAATGTATGTAGTATGTATAAACTCTGCATGAATTTAACAGACCACTCATGTTCGTGTTGCATTAACACTTGATGGTCGGCGTGCCCAACGTCTCTACGACTGAATTCTCCAGTTTGTGTCCCAGTGTATAAATAAACTGTGATCCTAGGGAACAGGCTGATTCCCAAACGCATTAATCAACCTCTCCTTCACGCACACTGCTCTCTCTGGATATTTTGCAACGTGATTTGAATGGCTAGTGTCTACGCTGGAACATCTGAATGAACTGAACGATTTGATACCCTGATACCTGCGCAGCCACTTGAGAAAACTTTTCACGTCACCCCATTTAGAGTGAATGAGAAGCATCTGTTGAAGCCTCCAACACGTACATGAGTGCTGCGTAACTCAGACACTTTAGTTTCCTCCCTCTTCTACCCAGTCTTTTCGGACCTGGACTTCATTCCACTCATCCATACTGTGCCTCTGGCTATCATTTGTACATCAGCTTGTACTTTGAGAATTTACCGTTCACAACCCACGGTGCTACTGTTAAGTTCAACATAACTTTTAAGTTAGTTTGAAAATGTGCTGTTTTAAAAGGAGCTATCCCACACAACTTGCAAGAAAAATGTCTGTTTTAACCTTCATTTTTGTAGAATATTTTCTTTCTTTGTTTATTTCTTTCCACCCACACTGTATCCAAACTCTAAATGCCTCTTTGACCGTGGCTGTCATTCTTCCATTTCCTCTATTTCATGTTTTCAGTGGACCGACTACCTACTTCTTTTCCTGTCATTACACCCTGTCTGTCTGCCTGTAGGCTATAAGTCACTCAAAAACTAAAATCTAAGACTTTGTAAAGCTGTCACCTTGTAGCTCCTTTTCCAGAACAATAATGTGCTTTCTGTCTTTTATCCCAACAACAGTTTCTGAAAGTAAGAGAAGTGGGGAGTCACTGAAGTGGCAATGCTGATGTTGACTGAAACATCAGGTAAAGTTCAGTCACATTTACTTCACAGTGGGACTTCCATTTAAGTAGTTTGATGCAAACCTGGTTCATCCACATCAGTGGAGCCAGCGTATTCATCGTCATCTTCCTTCCTCTTCTCTAGCGTCTTTTTGGGAGTGATTTGTCTCTCCTGCTTCTGTGGAGTCTGCAAGATCAGCAAGGACAGAATGTTAAAACTGACTGACACTTTCAAGATGGAAAACGAATCTTTCATTTATTATCATATTTTTCTAATAAAAAAACAAATGTACCTTTGTGTTCATTTCCTCTTCACTCTGGTCATCCACTTCCATTTCGCTCTCTGAGCTCGACTCCGCTCCATCCATCAAATACCTGGAGGAAGACAAAAAACGAGTGAACAAAATGTGTCAGCATGATTTAAGACCAGAGGCAAAATGATGTCTGCACAATATATCTTGCTCCCTATCAGCTTTACAATGTTTCAAACCTCAGTGGACCTTTTGTCAGGCGATAGTGGAACAAAAGCAAGGATCAAAGTGAAGGTAATAGTTTTTCACCAGGATGTCAATGTTTAAAACATTACCACTGCCTGTATATTAAATACACTGAAGATGGCATACTGGGGAAAAAAGTCTAATCTACTGACTTTAAGCCGTCAGCGGAGGACGTCACACGGTCAGACTGATGTGTAAAAGTGAGAGCTGACATGGCTGGACAGGACTGTGACGCTCTGATACCCGATAAAATCTTTTTTTTCCCATGAGAGTTGGTTAGATGCTCTATCTCACAACATAATCATTGGATCCAAATCAAAAACTAATCATTGTCCCCAAAGCTGAACTTTCCACAAAAATGAATTAAATGTACAACAAACAATCAGATAACACCCGAAGATAAAAGATCCATAAAAGATTTAGGGACTGTTCTGGCACAAGAGAGATCATGACTCCATCTGCAAAGATGAAGAGGAGTGTGAGGAGAAATAAAAACCCAAATGTTACAATCACTTCCACAGAGAATACAAAAGAGTGGTGATAACAATCCAGGAAATGGATGGGACATACAGAAAAACAGGCAAGGTACAATTAGAAAATCCTACCTCCTGTACTCACGCACAGACACAGAAATGAAATGAGGATGTGACATTTCTCCCCACCCTCTCCATATATCTCCTCAAGCCACTATAAAGTCACCTGGACATTATCAGCCTGAGAGTGTGAAGTGCCGGGAGTTCAAATACCAGCGTAAAGGTCCAATCATTTCCGCGCACACTATAGGGAGACATTTCATTGACCTACGCTTTCTGGTTTCATAAAACTCAGGGCCCAGGAAATTGAAAAATGAAAACAGACACTGTCGGCAAGGGGAGTAATACAGTATCTGTTGCTTATGAAAGTGCCGTTAGCTCAGAAGCAGAGCAAGGAGCGAGATCTGTTCGGCTTCACGTGAACTGGAGACACAGGTGGTTTATTTGAGCAGGGTAAAACCAGATTATAATAAAGCTGAAATGATTCTAAATCATTCATCATGATCATTTTTAAGCAATTAAATGAATATCTTTGGAGTTCTGAGAGCAACACATATAATTGTTACTGAACATTTTCTGTTGATTATTCGTTTTAGCAAATTTATGCAGAAATCCACCTGTTGAGGACTAAAGTTTGTCCGAGATCAGTATCATCATGACTTTGCTCAAATAGGCAAAATGAATTTCTCATTGTTGACAGATCTGCTTAATTGTTTAATCTAGAAACACCAAAAATAGTCTCACACACTCCCAGAGCCCAAGGCCACAATTTCAGAATTGCTTGTTTTTAATAAATGCTAATTTTTTTAATGGCGATAACGAAATGTCTGCACTTGACACCCTTATACACTTCTGGCACAAAGCCCTTGAGGATGCAGCGACTATTTTCACATTACAACTTTTATGTGTTGGGTTTTTGTATGTGCTGAAGTTGTGTGTGTCGTAGATTAATCGTGGCACGATTGTGCTGATATTTTGGCTCCGACACGCCAAGTCCTCTTGGGATGTTGCAACAGAGCCTCGGTTTTAATGAGATATTTGTTTACTTATTCAGTTCTATTGTGATGGGATGTTGTAGAGCTGCTTGAGTGTTTTCTACTCTCCCCTCTTTCTGTCCATCTCTGGATCCTCACAGATCAGACAATGTCTAAGGAGAAAGCATTTCTGGGGTGCTTAGCTGATGTCACAATCTCATTAATATATACACTACAATCCTTATGCATAACAGGAGCTCAGTGAAGCTGTACATTTGCCTACAGATGCTCAGTGATAAAGTGTTTGTGTGCATGATTGGGCAACAGTTTGAGAGTGTGAGCGTGCATATTTGTTTGGGTACTTGTCATCATCAAAGTAAGTGGTCCCTTTAATTACCCATAGCAGATGCAGCTTTTAAATAAAGGATACATCATCAAAGCTGCACACTCCACGCGCTGCACAATAGCAGAGGTGGGCAGGGGAATGGATTATTCTGACAACAAGAGAGGGGGATGCAGCGGGGGGAGGGTGGGGGTGAGGGATCTTCGGCACAATCAGAAACTGACTGAGAAAGGCGAACATGAGGGGGAATGATGACATGGGCTGCAGTGAACTTCTCATTACAATGCATTTTTGAGAATCTTGAAGTATGGAGCAGACTTATAAAACCACAGCATCGTTTCTCCAGCGCCCTTCAGCAGTACTTTTTAAAAAGGCTTTCCACATTACTCCCTCAGTCTCTCTGCATAGCTCATATGCATACTGTCTGACTGTCTAGAATAATCCCATCAAAACATAACTCTGATCGCTTTCATTTCTGGTTTTGAAGACTAACGTGAGCAAAAATTGATTTTCGTTCACTCCGTCTTATCTACAGATGTAACCTGCTGGAGCTGGATGATAACGATATCTTTGAAATGACAGTCACATCCACATAACTAATCATAACCACAGACAGGCAGACTAATGAAGGTCTGTGACTCCTCCTCCTGTGCCTTTGTAACTCAACCACAGCTGAAACCTAATGATTATTTCCATTATCTGCCAATTACTTGTTTAACTACTCGATTTATTTTGTCCAAAAAAAAAGTTAAAAATTGATGGCATCTATGGTGACATCTTGAAATTTAGACCGACAGTCTATCTAAAGATATTTTATTGACTGTCATATAAAATAAAGAACAGCAGCAAATTCTCACACTTGAGATTCTACAACGAGCTAATATTTGGTATTTTTGCTTGAAAAATGACTGAAAAGATTAGTTACAAATTCAATTTCTGTTATCACCTAATTGATCCATCAACAAATAGTTTCACCTCTACATTCAAATATTTAATGCTTAGTGATAAAATCCATTTGAGATATTAATAATACCAGCATCAGATACATGCACTTCATTCTGAAAATGAGCAGGTAATTTAACAAGATGGTGTCGTTCAACTGATGAAACAAAATCAGTTCTAGTGCAAGGCACAAAGAGAGAAAAGATAGTCGGAAGATCACAGTAACAATCAAACTATCCAGCACCAAAGTCCAGCAAAATGTGTACATTCAGCATGAGAACAAGTGTAGTATTGAAAAGGAGAGGAAACAAGCCCATTTGAACTATGCACCGACACCTGCATAAAGATGGAAAGCCCAGAGGCTGCTGATGAGAAGTTTGAATTAAAAGGTATCTACACCGTTCTCCAGGGCCGACGACCATCATCAATCATCCAGATACACAATCATTCACTACAAGATAAGTTTTCAAAACCATCAGTGATGCAGCCTGTGATAGAACTGTCATTACTCCCCAAATCACTGTGGTGAGAAGAGAAAAACAACTTTAAAGCTTGTCCAGTTTTTCTGAGTGGAAATTACTGTGAATGCAGCATGTTGCGTGTATTGTTCGAGTATTTTTTTCATACAAGGGTAGAGCTGAAGTTAGCATGGTAAGACATAAGGTGCTGCTTGTGGCTTAGAGCTGCATTAGTCATTATCCAGTGTTTCCTCTACATTCATTTAGCAGTGGCGGCCCACCACTGCTAAATCATCACCGCCACGCCTTCAAATTTCTTTTTTTTTTTTTTTTTTGTCGCAAATGCACCACCGCCACATCTGTCCACCTTCACAGCACAGCCTGTGTGATGATGAGCGCAACAGCGGGGGGAGGGGAGGAGAGGGGAGGGAGGGAGTGGGGTGGTTGAGGGATCCTATTGGAGTTAATTACTCGCGAGAGCGCGGCCTTGAAAGTGACGTCACGTCAGGCACCAGGTCAGAGTCAGAGAAGTGTAGTCGTGAGGAATAAGGCAGCAAACTACCGGAGAAAAGGTAGACTTATTAGCCAACTCAGTGACGCTAACTTGGGTAAACTAATTGATAGCATTAAGCTAATATCTACACGTCATTATGTATTAACTGCTGACTGCATTTTCAGATGAGCTTGTTCAGATACTTCTCTAAGAAGAGAAAGACAACAGATGAAGAAGACGCTAGTCAGGTAGCCTATCATAAGCCTTTTACTGACTCGTAAATGATGATGGTTAGGTAAAAAATAATATTTTAATGTTCACACTTGTAATCAGATGTGATGTGAGTGTAAACTATATAACGCTGAAAATCAAGTGCTCTGAGCCTGGGTGCAAACTTTGCCACTGACTCTACAGCCCCATCTAGCTGATCTTTATATGTTTATTTATTATTTTTATTTATTTAATGTTATTGTTTTATTTATTTTTTACTTTTTACATTTTCAACTGGTTAGAGTTGAAGTAACATTTATTTTTCACAAACCAAAGGTATTTATTTTTCTTGACATTGTATATGGCTGAGATATATTGTAAAAGTTCAATGGCAGCGATAAAAGCATTTTCAACTGCAGCCAATAAATAGGTTTTGAAAGTAAAATCTGCTGTCAACTGCTCATTTGGTCATTTGTGTATTTGTGCATTTGTCCTTTTACACAGCCTGTTCAAGGCGGGAACGTTGCGCCTTTACTTCACCTCGCCATTCTGTATAAAAAGGTACAAACCCTGAATGGGTCGACGTCTGTGAAAAAGGGAGAGCAACCATGGCGGGAAAGACGCTGTTGTGTTACACATCACGCTCTGATTCTGTAACACCAGCACGCTCTCTAAATTCACACACTGTGGCAGCGTTATGGCGGCTTTGTTTGGTTCAGTGTAAACAAACAAAGTCGGCATAATGAGGGGTCTTCTTAACCGCAATATAGCAGGATCCCGCTCATCAGTATGTTTCACCATGGTATATAGTAAAACTGCTATATCAGCACTTTCTCCAGAAACCAGCAGTTTAAGTTTGAAGCGGACATCTTATACTCTTCATTTTGCATATTGGGATTATCTGAATGCATCACAGGCCTGACACCGATGAGCTCAGTAACCTTGGATAACTTGGATAAAGCAGTGTGGCAGCCTGGTTGGAAATTGATTCATCTTCAAGCCAGAAACAATCATTATGGAAGCAACAAGTATGAAGGAATTCCTTAAATGATTAAGTAAAGTGTTGTACAGTATAACACAAGTACAGTATTATGCCAATTAATGTGGACCTTCCATTGCCTGCGATGAGTGTTCAGCTCTACATTATTCAGTAGACACAGATTCATGTGGAGCAATGACAGAAAACCTTGATGTTGCAAAACCTCCCCCAGTAATGAGGCATATAATTAGAGAGCTGCTGGAGCTGCCTGGGATGAATCTGTGATCACAGCAGGCATCAGCTGCTCAAGGTTACAATGTTCTCTGTAGCAAGTGGGCATCACTGCTGTGAGAGGTGTATTTTTGGACGCTTCAATCAGTGTGAGTGCTGTGAGCAGACTGTGCGGTATAGACGTACAGACGTGGCTTAAGAGAACGTATTAATCAGATGTGGATTCATACAGCGGACACATGCTCCACACTAAAACCAGGCTGTCATCCTGCGGAAGTGTCCTTTAACAAGGCAGCGAATGCCATCCAGCTGTTCCAGTGGTCAAGCCAAGCTTTTCTACAGGTGTGAATTTCCAAATCAGTGCAGTTTAACTTCACTATTATTACTATGAAGTCGTCTCTTTGCACCAGTTTGTTTGGCATTTCATCTTCTCTTACTGTTTATAGGAGATCTTCTGTTTCCGCTTATGGCAGTCCATCACCCATTCCTTCCGTACGATGATGCCCCCTGCTGATTTCACCTGGCTGTACTTGGGGGTGTTAGCGAAGGCACAGCTGGAGATTAATGGGTCGAAACAGACATCAGGTACACACACACACACACACACACACACACACACACACACACACACACACACACACACACACACACACACACACACACACACACACACACACACGGTTACATCACTAAAGAGAAGCTGTCAAGGGCAATAGGCAATAGGAGATCAAGATGCAATCAAACTGAATTACTGAGAGTGCTAACACGGCTGTGACACAATCCTGTAATCTGTTTCAATGATAAACATGAACTAAAGATAGAAATCTCTCATGACAGGACATCTCTGGAACAAGATCAAAATTATTTACTGCGATCATCATATTTATCACATTAGTTCCACAACTTAAACATCATTACACCTCAGATATTTTACCATAACATTTCAGTTTAAAACTATTTATGATATGCTCTGAAACCTGCAAATAAATCTGTTTTTTATCCTCTTTTCTTTCTGCTCATCTTTCTTTAATCTTATCTCCCAACATGCAGCAGTTTCGTGTATTGATCTTTTGACTTATTTGCAGCTCTTTCGCATTTGCTCCCATTTATCTCTTCATTTACTCGTTGTGGAGCCATATTTCTGAGCTGTCCTTGTCCCCCGAGTACTCCGTTTACTCGGGTGATATAGTGAACAGTTTCCCTTACAGCAGCAACTGTGATGGGAATACAAAATCTGATTTCTCTGATGTCTCAAAACCCACACAGAGGACAGACAAGGATGCTGATAAACAACAATGCCAATAAAATTACAATGAATTTTTCATCCATCTATGCACACGCACCATCAGACTATGGTGTGTGGACTACTTTATTACTACAGGTATTTATAACAATGTTAACTGTTTTATAACCCATGTAGCAACAGAACACTATCATACAGGATTATGGTAATAGCTTTACATTTTGGGAAATGTGTGTATTTGCCTTCCTCATGAGAGTTATATGAGAAGACTGAAACCACTCACATCTGTCACATCTGTCAATTCAATATAAGACTAGAGGCTACAGTGAGCAGCCAGACATCTCAGCCTAGCACAAAGTGCGAGTGAAAAAATGAGATATAACTTGTTAGTCAGTGAGTTTTATTGAAGCTGGTAGGCGGGTTTGTGTTACCTTTAAACAGAGCCAGGCTAACTGTCTCCCCTGTGTTCAGTCTTCATGCTGAACTAAGCTGCTGCTGCTGGTTGTAGCTTCGTATTTACTTTGCAGACTTGACATTCGGATCAATCTTCTCATCTAACTCTTGGCAAGGAAGTGAATAAGCGTGTTTCCCAAAATGTGGAGCTATTGCTTCAAGGATACCATACAAGTAATGCATCCATAAACAATTATGAATGATAAAGCAAGGACAACTTATAGTATGGAGTTTTCACATATGTCCCCTTTGCATTCCTGCCAGCTACTTACATAAGGTGTGTGGAGTCGGGTGTCCAGTCAGGCCGGTACTTGGCTCCCATATCCAGAGCCTTTTCCCTCAGCTCCCCTCTGAATGGATTTTGGAAGCCACTGAGGACAAACACCACCCCCTCCATGATCCGGTTGAACGGGACCTGCTGCGCTCCCTCGGATTTTGCCTTCTGTTGTTTGGGTTTAGGTCCGGATTTGGATTGACTCTCCCTCTTCTTGTCAGCAGACTTCTGAGCCAGGGAAGCTGGAGAGACAAATCAGACCGTCAAGGAAGGTTTCAGTGAGGAAATAATCCGCATGCTGAGATTCAGACACGAAATTAAGAGTTACCTTTCGCAGCGCTGGGGCTGGGCGTGCTGGCTGGGCTCGGCTTGTGTTTGGGGGTCGCAGCTTTGCCCTCAGGTGAGCCCGCGGGGCTTATTTTCTTCGAAGGAGGGGGGCCAGGGACAGACTGCCGCTCTTTGCTGAACTCAAATTTTCTTTTTGCTGGTGGCTGTGAGGAAGCAATTAATTTTAAGAAATTAGAAACTGGAACCTTTTCATGCTTAAACCGAAAGAATGATGTGCACCCGTATGTTAGGACAGGTGCGTTGAAGGAGATGCTGAGGAGATGTTTCCCTCAGCATACAAAAACAATGATTCTGCAAATTTGTATATTCTTATAGCTTTCAGAAAGGGGTTGCAAAGCAATTACAGTAGAAAATTGGAAACAGAACTGCAATCACTAGGATATCTACTAGGACGACTTTCCTATGCATAGGCATGTATTTGTGCAGCTAACCCAAATAGATCTTTTGTATTCACTTTTTTCTTTTAAAAGTCAAAGTGACATGCGGCTGGTATTGATGGTGTCATTCCCCTGTGTCAGCAGCCCCTGCTGCGTTCCTTCTCGGAGCGGGCTCAAAGTTACAGCAATGTATTTTTATTTGTGTCAGGAAATGTATTTTTAGCAAGCTGTTCTTTAAAGTTGATGAAAGCTACCATTTAGCTGCTGCAAACGTGACAATTTCCATTCAATAAATTGGATTTTACCAATTAATAAAGTGCTTTTGGAAAACAGAGGGACATGATGAGCTTAAACACAGGGCCTTATTTTAGTCACTCAAGTGCAATGACAAGCACAAAGCAGACGTGTGTAGTAATGTACAGGCTTTCTTTGCAGTGGTCTGGTGTCATATGCATGTTATCTAATAAACGTAAACACAGTAGGCAGCTATGTTTAGTGACGCTGCACTCTGACGCAGCACTTCTGAAATCAGAGGCTACAGATTTATCAGCATGTGCCCTGCTGCCTTCAAATGGCTGCAGAGATTTAATCAACTGAAAAAGCAGCTTTTCATTTTTTCACTCCAGTTTTTTACTCTCAGAATCATTCAATAATTTATAGATAAATGCAGACTGATTTACAATGAACGCAATTTTTTTTTCCTATTTAAACTGGCTGGGGAGTGATCAGTTAAAAGTTTATTTACATCTGTGCACACGCTCTGTGTATTTAGTTTGTTCTCGTAATGAAAGAGTAAAAAAGTGGCTGCAGATCAATGTTGCAACAGAAACAGATGTGGGTCTGAGATGTCTATTCTCAGTGTAAAAGACATTTTCCACCAAAAAACAAACAACAAAAAAAAACAAAAACAGTTAACTTTGCATTGCTTCATTTGAATGAACCACCCACCTATGCACTCGGCACTCGGCACCAAAAAGGAATTTTGAAGATGAGGAAATAAATAAAGTGTTGGGACGCTGCTTGTTCTGGTCTTTGTGTCACCATAAAAAAATATGACCCATCATGCAAGATCTCTGCTGTAAAATTTAAGAACCTGTTATACAATACAATTTGATTTTACATTGAAATGTTTGAATTCCTTTTTCATAAACATCCTGGAATTTTTGGTTTGTGGTGAAGTAACATACTACAAAGAAATCTGCTTGAGAATATATGAACCAATATATTTTCAACGTGTGGAAAAAGCTACAACACAGATAACTTGTTAAAATGTTTGACTGTTTTAGGCAGAAAGGCTGTTGAGACAGCATATCAGATCATTTTTGGTTTACCTGTGCCTGAGGTTTTACTCGACTTGAGAGACTATTGTTTGAAAGCTAAATTTGATTTAGACAGAGCTGAATTCGGAAACTGTGAAGGTAATGTGAAGAGAGAGAGGAGTGAAAACAAAACGACTTTAAATCTGATTTAAATTCACTTGAGTTATTAGGTCATCTTATTGATGTTTAAGACACCATTTAGCTGTGAATCAAATTGAATAAACTTTCCCGGACGTGATGTGGTATTCAAAACTCCCAATTACTATAGATCCCATCCTTAAACAAGCTGTATTGCCAGTTTCATCTTCTCTCAGCTTTACCTTTGTTCTACAATGACACAGAAAACCATTGCTCATTAAGGGAACAGCTGTTTGCTGGTCGTCCCTCAGTGAAGAAAATGATGGTGATGTTTAGTACCTGTGGTGAGGCAGAGGTGGAGGAGGAAGCTTGGCCTGGCGAGTGGGTGGTGCCACCAGCCTGCAGGGCAGCGGCAGCATAACTCAACTTCTCACTCTGGGGAGACACTAAAGTAGAGAAGTGCAGAGGGATGGTGAGGGAACAAAGGAGACATATTCCCACAAAGTGGCATTACAATAAAGAATGTCTTTGAAATCACCTTTTTGCTCTTTAGTCTTTGCTCTACCTCTCCTGATACACATAAGGCTTTAACTAACTGGTAACTGGTGCTCTGATGGCTTTTTATTTCTATCATTTTATTGGACTTCAGCGGACGCTAAATTTAAATAAATGGCTTTACCTTTGAGTGAAGGACTGGATTTTGTTGCACTGTCCCGACTGAAGAAGAGACTGCCAGGTTGAAGGCTGGGCCCAGATGAAGGAGACTCATCCTTCATCTTGAACTGTCCCAGCTTTGTCAGTTTCTGACAGGAGAGAAGAAGGTAAAGTTCAGGACCAAAAGAGAAGATGGAGGGACTTATTTAAGTCCTTGTTGTCTTAAGACAGTAAAGCTAAAATGTAGTGCAGTTCGGAGGAAAGGTAAAACGCCACATGTCAAAACGTTCAAGAACTAATAGTTGGCAATAAATGTCTGCTCATATTCTTACTCTTTTTATAATCAGGCAGTTTCTAAATTTAGACTATTACTGTGTGCCAGTGTCCTATGATGTCCTTGTATTTAGACAATATTGAACCTTTAAGATGTTTGGCTCAGATGTTTGTTTTGTATTTCCCAAAAGCATCACAAATCATCGCTTTGGTATCATAGCCAAAACTCAGGTATATTATTAACACTAAATTATCCCAATGATCTTAATTAAAAAGATTAAAAGAAAAAGACGTTGCATTACTTACTGGAGAAGCTGTGGAAGGAGGATCATCTTTGTCAGGTGGTGAATGGAACTTAACAAAGGCCAGTCCGTATGCTATGTTCTATCAGATGCAAAGACAAATTCATCTCACATTTCATTTCACTTGCAGCAACAGATATATGCAATTAGTTTACACCTTTTTTTTTTTTTTTTTTTATAGAAATCACCTTGAATTCTAGTTACCTTAACTCAACTACTGAACCATGCTGCTTGTATTGATGTAGATCCTTATGTTGCATGTGTAAGGCGATCACGTGCTCTATATTTCAAGTCAGTCAGTCAGTCCTATGTTGACAGTTCTGTGATAAAATCTAACATATCACCTCAAAATGCAGACGTACTTGCTAATTATTTGATTTTAATTAACATTTAGACAGATATACTGGCTTGCACTCTATAAAACCTGAAGAGATTTTTTATTTTTATTTTAAATAGTTGGGCTCATTACCTTGCTGTATGGCTGGCTACACACAATTTTCACTCTGTCCCACTTCTCCTGTGCTGTGCTCTTCTGCAACTGGTTGGGCCCAAAGAAACGCACACGGTTCATGTTGGTGCCATTGCGGCTCTCCGTTGGGGACATGAAGGAAGACATAACCAGAAGAACCTAAAGCAGAGATTGAAGTTAAAGAATAAGTACATAATATGGTTTAATTACTAGTTAAGATAGTTAGGAAGAAAAATATTTGAACTGGTTTGGTTTGTGACAATACCTCATAGTCCTGGTCTCTGACAGCTGAGGAATTCCCAACTAACACCTCGATGAAAGCTGAGCCTTCGTTTCCGATGTCGATGCTGTGCACCTGCTCCTCCTTCTCCAGCTGAGAGAAGAAAAACACCAGTTTAAAGGACTAAATAATTAAAAAGCTAAAGCAGCTGCCTGGCTTTAGATATCCTCATGTAAATTAAAGGGGAACATTTACATGTGAGCACAGACTTACTGTCCCTTACTGACACAATTACTTTGTGATGTTATTCTTATATTACTTTTAATGAGCACTGTTCCAAACACAACTACAAAGATATTACTATTAAAAGTAACGGAATAAAACATAATAAAGCTGCAAATATCTTTCTGTAAAAGTTTAAAACTATATATAGGAGGTGATATAAAGGAAAATATTATTTTGAAATGCTCAAGATGCTCGGTTTTCAGGGAGTTTTAAAGCAGAGGGGCAGAGACTAAAAAGATTTTGATACTCTTAGTTGTATGATTAACCAGAAAAGGACTAGTCACACCAGATGGGAGACATCTAAGATTTCAAATGTGAGTAGGAAACCACTTCTTAAGTGTCATTAACATGTTCTGTAAGATCCTACAGCCTTAAGCTGCCTATGAAGAGAGGTAAAGATGATTGCAATATGGTCTTGTCTCCCAAACTTAGTTGAGAGCTGGCAAATGTATTGCTGTCTAATCCCTAAAATATAACTGCTTTCAAGATAGTCTGTGGTCAAAAAGAGGAAATAGAATCATAGGCAGCCTGTTGAGGAAGGTGTAAGACAATGCAAACAAGGGGATTCCCCAAAAGGACACAAATATATCAACAAAGGAGAAGTATTTGGTGATGATGGTGACGATGCTGATGATAATGTACCACACAAATGTACTGTGTGTTGGAGAAAACTTGACTGCATGAATCTAATCACTTGGATAACAAAAGGCAGCCAGACGATGAACTGGCAGAACAATTAGAGACATATAGAAAGAGCTTGGCTTTAGATTCAGTGAGTTGTAATACATTCTGATGCGATACCCAACAATTTAGATCTCAGCGTCATTGTTTAATTTGGATCAAATTAGCTGGATCACCTGGTGCTTGGAGAAAGTATTTAGACTTCACATTGGGGATTTAAGACTTTAACACCCCTTTAATACTCCACTTAGAAAACAATCTAACACCATTTTCACAGTCAAACCAGTCATATAATGACAGAGAGCCAATAGGAACAATAAGGCCTATAATTAGGATGTGAATTTATTGACATTTTGTCACTCCTTCCCAGCTTTATATAAAAACAATTCATAGTAAGCGTAAGAGAGTGGATTAACTAACCAATAAATAATAAATTATTTTTTACTGAAACATACACAGTAATAACAACAACAACAATAATAATAGATGATAATACATCAAGAGCCTCGTGTATGCACAATCCACTCTTGCACCAGTCTCACTTTTTGTGCATGTGTAACATCTCCCAACAACCCAAACCCAGCACAGATAATAAGGCCTACAATTATTAATTTACTGGCATCTAATTTGTCAATACTTCCAAGCTGTATATGACAATAATTCCAAGTTATAATCAATCAATCAAATCAATGATCTTCCTATCAACTTCAGCAAGCAGTAGAGAGAGTCTGCTAATGGTTCTGACTGAAACTGAATTCCTGCAGGAGGCTGCGTGCAGCACAATCCACTGTCACACCAGCCTGACGAGTAGTTTACAGGCGTATGGCATCTCTCAACAGCCCACAACCATATACAAAACAAAGTTATTGCTAATGTTAATGTCTATGGTAGTGAAATGAAAATTAAATTTAACATCAATTCAATGCTTTAAGACTTTTTATGACCCGCAGAAGCAGTTAGAAATGACACTGTCTACAGCACATAAGAGGAACACTAAAGACTTCTGTAAATAAAACAGGAACTTCTAAGGCTTTATAACAAACTCATTTAGACTTTTTCAGGACCTGCACATACCCTGAATGAAAATATTTTTCCGGCTAACAACACATGTGGGAGTAGAGTTGCAAAAACATACCTGCAGGATAACTGATGTCTGCTTCTCCCCGGGTCTTGCCGCTTTCCACTTTCTGTAGGTATCAGAGCTCAGCAGGTTGTCTGCCTTGTGAGTCTGTTTTGCATGAAGACAAGAGGTGAGTGACAGGGAGGCTCATATTTGGCTAAATGCTTCCATCTCGGCGAGTGGAACATGACTCTCAACACATTTTACAAATTCAGTGCAAGCGACAGAACAACAACTTACATTGTCCTCGGTACTGCAAGACACGACGTGCTTGATCTTGATCTCAGGCATGTTGTTGTTGATTCCTCACAGGTTCAACACTGAATAATTAGCAAGTGTGGAGGTGAATAAACCAACCGGGCGCTTGCCTCGCCCCTAAGCGTTATCGTGGCCGGTTAACAAAACATAAAACATAAAACACACACGCACACAGCTTCCGTTCAGTGGGAGCAACTTAGCCCCGAAAAGTAACAAAACCGTTTGTTTCTATTCAACTACAGACCGTTGGCTAACGTGTTAGCACGCTAGCAAACAATAGGCAGAGTGAACTTTTCCCGATTAGCTTGTTGGTTTTAACACACCCAAAGTGCTGTTGTGAAGTAATCTTTCAATCTGTTATGTACTTGACATATAGCCGCTTACTTTGGCGTCACGGTAAACCTCAGAAAATACATATTATACTCTAAATTTTAAGACAAATGTGCACGGAGGCGAACTCATTTTCCCACCAAAAGCCTGATGGGTGTCGTGTTGTGTTGTGACACGCAATGTTTCCATCCAATCAGCGGTCCCCTCTTCTTCTTCTTCTGTAATTTAATCAGGGCATCACCGGGGCAATGTCGCCACCAACTGGTTAGAGTACGTACTTGTTAAGAAATTTGTATTATAGTGTTAGTCTTAGTTGTCAGTTTATTAGGAACACCTAGCTAAAACGTATAATGCAGTGTCCATGGAGGTTATACCGGCCAGTTTGTGTTGAGAGTGGGTTAAAGAGGCATTCATTGAACTGTATGATCATTCTGGAGTCTGTGGTGCTGGTGAATGGCACCCTAATGTTGACAAGTGTTCCTATTATTTTGTTTGAATAACATGAAATAAATGAGGATAGGCTAAACAACAGACTCACCCCTTCAAGAGCACAACAAACCTCTATGTTAATGACTTCCTAACATTGAAACATTTAGGGATGGTTGACTAATTTAAAATTTATATGTAAATTGGATGTGATTTCAGACTGCAATAACAATCTATTGAAAAAAGTTTTTTGTTTTGTTTTGTTTAGTTTTTTACTGGGTAGATGGATAGGACTGTGTGGGTTGATTTGGTTTGGAGAATTTTCTTTCCCTTCCTGCAATAACGCATCTACTATGACAAGATGCATTCTCTCACAAACATTGTTATACACTCCCTCACCAGTGTAATAAATGGTGCAAACTTCATTACAGCTTGAGCTGCAGAGCTGCAGCCTTTCTGACTCTACAGGAACTTTAAGCACTGCCTGAGGAGGGGAGTCGTGTAGTATATACACAAGATAAAATGATGAAAAAACCTCTTTTATCAAACCTTTTCATCTTTTATAAAAAGAGCACAGCGGTAGGTCACAAGCCAACAATCAAAGAGACAGAAATAGTTCAGTATGGAGATTATGAGAGAGAAATACCACTACTAGCTATTCAAGAGATCACAGTGTATGATTTTGAAAAGCTGATTATATATATAGACGAACACTATATACAATAACCTGAAAGCTATGGATTACCATTAGTAAGAGAATGAATCCGAAGACTAATGCAAGTTTAATGTTACAGGTGAATAATGTGACTCAGATGATTTCCAGGTAGATGGCCGTTTCTGCATCAGCCACAGTAGTACCCTGCACCTCTCTTGTCCCTCTGACTCCTGAAGGGGCTCGTCTGTCTATTCCTGCACCCTCTCCTCCTCTTCGTCTCTCCCCACCTCTTCTGCCCATTGGACGGATCTGAAAAAGAGACAGATGTTTATAAATTCTCAAAGGAAGGAGAGATTTGGGGATTTTTATCAGTGCAATGCCCACTGCTTCCAAGGATATAACCTACACTCATAGATTAAGTTAACCCAGTACCTGGTTAGTATGGACAAAGAGAGGCGTACAGTTCTGATAAACAAGTTGGTAGCTGCCGTTGGTGTAGATATGAGTCACTTCCGTGCAGTTAATATAGAGGGGCATCCTGTCCTGATAAACTCCCAGTCCTTCGGGGTAAACAGCTGGATGTCTACTCAGGACATCTCTGGAAAGAGCAGAATAAGAGTATGAACCCCACAGCAAACATTTGTGACAAATTTCAGTGAACATTTAAAACGGGTGGTTTGCTTCACATACTTTCCAGCTTTCTTTCGGCAGCAATACAAAATAAGAGACAGAAGGGAAATGACCAAGCAGATGGCCACAGCAGGTAACACCATCCACCACAAGGGGGCTGTCTCTGTATATGGACAGAAAGAGCAGTGATGGATCAGCACATGGTGTAAAACTATGATATAATAATTACAACTTTCCCTCTCCATCATGAGTAGAACAATATGGATTATGATTTATATCTGGCCCTTTCAGACATATTGCTCATCACTCATGCCTGATGCTATGCCTTCACTTAGATATTCCTAGTAATAAAATCTGTAAAAGCTTTTTAAAATGTAAAATATGAAGCAATGCAATATAGAAAATGTGATGCTGCACTCATCATTCAAGAAAAGTACGACAACACACTGTTTTCTTTGCAGCAGTTCCCAATTCATTCTTCAGCTTATTCTCTTTTACTAATGTTATCAAGCTGCAGGCATGTTGCACGGATGTTTCAGCACGAGCCCGACATCAGAGTGAATAAACAAGAGGCAGCGCTGTTGTCTTTGTTAGTGTGGAAAAACTGTGCTTTGAACACACCCTGTCCTCCCTGCAGCAAAACCAGGGAATCATTTCCCAGGGCGTTGAAAGCAAAGCAGATCACTGTCAGGGGTCTGTCCATGCGGCCCCTCAGAGTAGCCGTTAGCACGTGAGGCTCTGATGTTACTGACACATTGTAATCACGAGGTGGAACAGTCCCATTAATGCTCCAGGTGACCGCAGGTTTGGGGTTGGAGTCGACTGAGCAGCGACACAGCACCTCCATCTCCTCTAGCACACAGGTGGAGGAGAGCCGGAGGATGACCGGTTTGTCTGGATGAGGGAAAAGATGCAGTTTTTTATACTATACAACTCTTTCACTTATCACACCAAATATTTATTGAATATTCTTTATGTTCTTTGAATTATACTTTACATTTATGTAATATTTTAACTTAATACAAGCTTGTGACTTTGCACAATATAAATAAAGGTGAGTAGATTTGACACTTTCTTATTGAGAGTTAGGTGAGAAGACTGATAACACTTTCATGTCTTTACTGGTAATGTGAAACTACGGTTCAGGATCTTCCTGTGGTCTCCGCCGGTTGCTTGGCAAAGTTAAGTTAACCAGCGGCTGATCGTAGCTTCACATTTACTCTACAGAGAGGAGAGTGGTATTGATCTTTGCATCTAAATCTTGACAAGAACATGAATAAGAGTATCTCCCATAATGCTGAACTATTCCTTTAAGGAGGACAATTCCATTTTGGCTAAATTAAAAGAGGAAACTTTGATTTTACTAGAATCCCTGGTAACACATCATCAACACACAATTTTGTTTTTGCTGACCACTAGTGATTTAACTCCTCTCCTTGCTGCAGTGATGTCACAGTGTACTCACTGTGACATCACTGTTGGCGGTGGTTACAGGTGTTATGGAGAACAACTCTGACCACACCCAAACAGTGACAGGTTGCAACAAACTTGAAACTTTGCACAGTTAAGGGCAGTGAAACCAAACATATGCAAGGTAGGCTTGTCTAGAAATAGTCAAAATGTATGTATGGAGGTAGGTTTACAGGAAAGAGGATTACATTGTATGTTCAGTGGTGTGGGCCGGGACTCTCCTCGACCAATCAGGTTCTGTACTGAGCAGCGGACCCTCATGTCTCGAGTCACGTTGTACAACCGAACTGTGTGTGCGCGCTGGTGGAGGTGCACTGTACGGCCGTGCTGAGTGTAGGACCAGCGGTACTCCGACACTGGAGGGTCAGCTTTGCATGAGCAGACCAGTAAGGCATTGCCCCCCTCCTGCACTGTCATGGACTGGACCTGAACTTTCACTTCTTTTGGTGGAACTATAGAGCAATAAAGGAGGAAAAAAAAGAAGAAGAGGTTTTTAGCGCAAACTGAGCCAAGAGACACAAAGACACAAAGTCAAAACTATGCTTACATGTCACATGCAGATCCTTGGAAGTGGCCAGTGTTTTGGCTCCTGGGTAGCTGACCTCACACCTGAGCCTGGGTTTCACCTGATGTGACACAGTGAAGGACAGAGGAGCCAGTAACATCAGCCTGTGGGGCTCTGGGTAGAGTGTCTGTACCTCCCCGGGCTCGGTGCTGTTCAGGTGGCCTCCTCGCTCCCAGCTCCACTGCAGGGCAGGAGGTCTGGAGGGGCAGTAATAGTTGACCGAGCAGTTCAAGGTAACCAGCTGTCCCTCTGTGGCCGACAACATGCCGCTGATGACAGGAGCCTCAGGAGTGTCTGTCAGTGAGGAAAAGCTCCTACATTAGAGTTTTACTGCTGCTGACTGTTTTATTAAAGCCAAATGATAATTGAACTTAAACATCACATGGAATCTCCAATGACATTACTGCAGATTGTTTGTCCCAGATTTCCATATTTATGAAGATTTAGGAACAATTTCATCAATTAGCAAATGTGTAATAGTATTTTTCTTTTATTTCATTCTTATTTTCAGACAAAATGTAAAAGGTAGGCTACTTGTTGACTGCTCATTCAGTAAAAAAAATGTTTATATTCATTTACTCATTTGCTTCTGTTTGCCATGATGCTGATCTGAGGGGAAAATACATCTGCGCTTCATGCACAATTATTACTGGCTTCCTCTCTGTTTGTTTGTACTAAAGTGTTGCTACTCCTATGCAATGACAATTTTTAGGAAAGTCCTACAGCCTGGATACCCACATGATCTGGTTGAAATATTCAAAGCCGGTTAGGAAGATGGCAGTTCCCTACTCACCAACAACATCCAGATTAAAGCTCCTTGGTTTTCCCCACAGTAAGTCATCACCTCTTTTCAGAGCGATCTCAAACATCCTTGAGTCATCCAGGCTGATCCTTTCTATCTTCACCGAACAGTCTCCCTCTGTGATTCGCCCAGAGAGGGACGTCCGGCCTTGGAAATCCCTGCTCACTTGATCCCTGTGCTCGCTGTTAAAAGCGGTGCTCCGAAGAGGAAATAAGTGGCCACCACCTCTGAACCTCAGCCGGACGTCCACCCTCTCCTTCCTCCCCTTGAGAGGATGAGGAGCTAGAGGAGTGAACGAGCAGGGAATCACAACACAGGAGCCCACCAGAGCTTGGACACGGTCAGGGACTGAGGGTACAGGAGAGGCAGTCCGGACCCCCCTCCACAGGGCTGCTGTTGTGATGGAGAACAGACAATCATTTCCCAAGCAGGATCTGTCGTGACCATGTCTTATTCTAGGTTTAAGTTTTAATAATGGGAGAAAGCAGGTTTATTAGCAAGCTATCCAACCATATAACTGTGCCTCATAATTGTGATGTTCACCTTTTATGCACTTAAAAGTACTTTTCAGTTTTAATTTGACCTCTGTGAAGCCAAAGACCAGTT